CCCCGTTCTTCACTGTGATGTTTGATTGCACTTATGATTGTCTTTTTCTCTTTCTTTTCAGAGGGCCTGTGTGCTTACCAGAAAGAACGAGGCAGAGAGAAAGTGTGAGAGAGATAAAGCAACCCTCAGTGGGGCATGATCATGCCACCATCCTTTTTCTCATTTCCAGATCTCATCAAGATCTTGGGCGCACATACACATGCACCTACATGTCACTCAAGCCACCAGGACTGGGACTCGAACCACAGTCAGCCTTTTAGGATCCAGCTCCCTTAACCAATGTGCTGTGGGAACAGCCCTGGAACTTGTACTTTTCTAATCAATAATAGTGATAATTTCATCCATTCTGCACTTTGCTTTCATTTATTTTTTTTTCCTCTTTTGTCGATGTGAGGAGGATTTATATTCAAGGTTCATTTAAGGAGCATTGAGTTGCACAGGTATTTTTTTTGTGTGAATATCATCTTAAATATGAAGTACAGAGTGCTGGTAAAAAGCAACCAAATTGTAGAATGAAGGAAAACTTATCCTGGGTCTTATATAGTTAATTTTAGTATTGAGGTAACTGGGTTCATTTTAATGGAATTTGGTGTTCTCACATAAATGGATAAATGAATATTAATTTGGAAGCCAGGAATACATAAGGCTTTATGTACTACCTCCAGAAATTAATCACCTCCAGGCAGAGTAGGATTAGTTGCATAGTACCCTTTTAAAAAGCAAAAGTTGTTTTATCTATTTTTAATAGGAAATCTTTCTGGTCCCAAGGGGCTCACTAGGTCCAGTGCCTGCCCTCCTCAAAAAAAAAAAAAACCCTGAGGATGAAAACTATTAAATAACTTCTACAAAGACACAGCCAGTCAAAATCAGAACTGAGATTCATTTCCAGGTCTGCTTCACTCTAAATTAGCCTGTGCTCTTTTAGTTACACCCACTCCACATTACTAAGTTTAAACTGTATTTTAGAAACAGATATTTGTTGGGAACCAGCAGTTAGCATAATGGCTATGTTGCTGGACTCCCACGTAGTCGACTGCGGTTCACGTCCCGGACCCAGTGGCTTAAAACTCGTGCCAGGCGCATGTGTGTGCGTGCCCAAGATCCCCAGAGGAGAATGGAGGAGAAGGGATTGCGGCGTGACCATCCCCCCTGGGGGGGTGATTTCTCGCTTTCTGTCTCTCTGTCTCTCTCTCTGTCTGTCTGGCGAGTGCACGCGCCCTATAGCAAAAACCTCTCAAAAAAAAAAAAAAAAAGAAACAGATATTTGTTTTGATTGTGTCCTGTTCATTATACAAGTATGATTTTGCTTTGAACTTGATTTCACTGAAAGATTTATTGACAGATGCTCAATGGATGTCCCCCTCCTTGTCATGCAAGTGTGTTTTTGTTGTATCAATTTTAAAGATTATCCAAATTCACAGGCAAGTTTATCTCTACTGCCATACTTTATTGAAATCAAACTTTTCTTACTCAATAGATTTGTAATCACCAACCATTTTTATAATCATCATTTAGTTTTATTTCTTAAAACCTTATAGACATATAAGATATACTTTGTGACTTCTGTGTTGGCTTTTTATTTTCTAATTATTGGCTATCCCCCCAAAAGTTCAAGTTGCCATAACTTCTAGGTCAGAATTTAAATTAATATTAGTAATAATAGGAATTGTTTTGTTTACTTTTCTTTTACTCTCTAAGCTTCTAGCCCCTCATCTTATTCACATGGTGAGACATACCATTGTGAAAATCAAACATCACTTGGAGGGAAGCTCAGAATGCATAATAAAATAAGATAGCCACAGGCCAGCAGGTGGCATGGTGGTTAGAGGCACTGGATTCCCACATGGCCAACTGCGGTTTAAGTCCCAGACCTGGTGGCTCACTTTTTCACTTTCTCTCTATCTAGTGAGCATATGTGTCCTGTAGCAAATTAAAAAATAACCATAATGACAAATAAAATAAATAATTATTTAAAGAGAAAAGATAGCCACAAATAAGGATAACCTAGGATAATAATAATTGCAAGTTAGAGTAGCATGAAATAAAATTGTTCAGAGTAAGAGAATTACTAACAACTTCATCCCTTGCTTTCACTTACTCCCATATCTATTATAACACTTTAGGCAAGGCCAGTTCATTCTGCCTTGAAAGTGATCTCTAATCTGCCCCATTATGCTCTGCTGCCTCCACTTTCACCCTAGTGAAGCCACCTTCATCTCTTACCTGGAATACCGCAATAATCCTTTATGGGATCTCCCTGACTCTGTAGCCCCATGCCCTTTCACACTTCCCTTTGTAATCACCACGCAGCAACCAGGTAAGCTCCTTAACCATAAATCACATCCTGTCCTTCTTTTGCAGAAGTAAATATTGAACTTTTAAAATAGTACTTTGGTGAGCCAGCAGGTGGTGTAGTGGTTAAGGTACTGGATCCCACAAGGCCAACTGCTCAGTTCAAGTACAGACTCTGTGACTTCAAAACACTCTCAACCAGAGTGCATGGGTACCCAGAATCTCGAAGGAAAATAGAGGATTGCAGTGTGGCCATCCCCCTGTTGGGGAAAATGATTTCTCACTTTCTGTCTCTCATACCCTATAGCAAAAAGCAAAAGAAACAAGAAAAGAGAAATGAAGAAAAGATAGTACCTTGACAAAGCAGGCATTATATAATACATCTAGATTTTTCTTGTTCCAAATAACTCAAAGTAACACATTTTAACTGCCCAAATTTGGTGAGATTATAAGTCCCCCATCCAGATTTCCATATAATATTGCCTGACTCTAAAGCATTGATAAGGTATATTATTTTAGAGAATACGCCTTAGTTATACTATCCAAAATGTCCTTAAGTAGTCTTATTCCCGCTTGGGTTGCAGCAGAGAGCAAATTTATCTAGATTCAATAACAGAGGCACTGTGAATGAAGCTTTAGAAAAACATTGCACAGGTCTGGATTAGACTGGTTGTGGCGCCGTAATTCTAATAGCCTATACCCCCAGATAGAATGCTCTGGATTCTTGAACACATTTAGTTTAGGAGGGCCTTAAATATTAATCATAGCTTCTAAGTCAAACCCAGTCTCTGAGGATATCAAGGTAAGAGGGGTTTATACCCTACACTCAGCAATAATTTTTTTTTTCTTTTTTACTGTGCTATTAGAAAAAAAGATTCAAGAAGAATACTAAATAAAAAGTTTTGGGGGATAGCAGGTAATGTGGTGGTTAAGGGTGCTAGACTCCCACTTGGGGACCACAATTATGTTCTCAGACCTGGCAACTTGCTTTCTCACTTTCTCTCCCTCTCCCTCTCCTTTTCCCTCTCCTTCTCCCTCTCCCTCTCTTGTCAAATTAAAATAAATAAAAGTTACATAAAATAATTCTTTAAGAAAAAAGTTTTCTGGCAAAAAAGGTAACCATTAAGCAGAGAAAAAATTGATAGTTGTTGTTAAGCACATTTCAACTTCTAGAAAAGTAAATCAGATCATAGTATATTAATGGTATAACACGAAAGTACTTGTATACCTAAGTATAACTGTGCCATATTGACTCATATTTCAACCTACCTGAATTACTGCCAAGACCTTTGTACTCTGGAAAATGAATTCTTGGAGGTTAGATCAATGAAAACACTTAAGATTCCTCAGTAAAAACACACACATATATATGTAAAATGTTAATGTATCATTACCAAATAAAAGCACACGTATTTTCATATGTATATTTTTAATTTGTCATTGCCTAATGGAATAGATACATCTTTAAACAGATGTTTATCGAACACGCGGTATTTGCCAAACTCAAAGGTGTACTGACTCTGGGTTAGCCTTTGTCACTGAAAGGTCGGTCATCTTTAGTCATCTTCCTGAATTCCTATTCCTAGCCAGTTCTGCAACTTAGTAAAAGTAGGAAGAAGAAAATAGGTGCATGAGCCTACAATTAGAGTAAAAAATGGTTCAAATACCGCTCATGTGATCTTTTCTTCACTGGTTCTCCAACATCTGCCTTCCTTCATTTTTTCATCATTGTACTCACACTTATTTTCCTTTTTACCATGGGCCCTTTAAGCATTAGTACTAAGTAACTGTCACAGATTTTATGCAACCATCGTAGATTCTGCAAGTTCGCTCTGGATTCTTAAATACATTTAGTTTAGGAGAGCCTTAAATACTAATCATGGCTTCTGATTCAGATCTAGTCTCTGAGGATACTCAAGGTAAGAGGGGTTCATGCCTTACTCTCAGCAGTATTTTTTTTTTTTTTGCTGTTGGTGGTAATATACAATGTCATTGTAATTATTCAAGTACGGTACTTATTGACCATGTTTTAGATAATTTTTTAGGAATGGTGACGCCATTACACCCCCTTACCTATTTTTCTCATGCTGTATCTTTGCCAGCTGTCAGGAACCAGGGGTTCAGTTTGACTCTGGAATGAAGATTTTTCAGAGCCAAGCTGATAAAACCCTTACCTCCATGTTTTAATGAACTGCCTCCAATTCAGGCTCTCATATTTTAAGGTTTTCTTTTCTTTTTTTTTTTTTCTTTTTTTTGGAGAGGTTTTTGCTATAGGGTGTGTGCGCTCGCCAGACAGAGAGAGACAGAGAGACAGAAAACGAGAAGTCATCCCCCACGGGGGATGACCACGCTGCAGTCCCTTCTCTGTTCTCCTCTCGGGATCTTGGGCACGCACGCACACGTGCCTGGTGTGAGTTTCAAGCCACCGGGTCCGGGATGCGAACCGTGGTCGACTACGTGGGAGTCCAGCGACATAGCCATTACGCTAACTGCTGGTCCCTCATATTTTAAGTTTTTATCAAAACTACAGATATGGAGAACAAATTCTCTTTGGTAAATGTTTTTAGATGTGCTTAATCTGAGAATATTCACAGAACATATTCATGATCGTTAATTTGTACATTTCCAAAGAATAAGCTTTTCATAACTTAGATATTATCCTCTAACTTATTCTTGTAACTAAAGTTTTCTCCCAATCTTTATTTCAGCTCCAGTATGCTGCTCTGCTCGTTACAACTTAGCAGTTTTGGCTTTTTTTGGTTTCTTCGTTCTCTATGCATTACGTGTGAATCTGAGCGTTGCATTAGTGGAAATGATAGATGTGAATACAACTGTATCAGATAATAGAACTTCCAAGGAGTGTGCAGATCATTCTGCTCCCATAAATGTTCTTCCTAATCAAACGGTAGGTGCTATTTTTTAACAAGTGAAAATATTAAAAAGCTTTTCTTCGTCATACAGAAACCATACTTCCTTTATGTGTACTTTGAGTCACTGTTTTTGTGTTTTCCCAGGAACTGTTTGCACACCAACTTACAACTTTAACTACTGCCATTGTACTACATTACACCTTGATCTGTTTGAGGAGCAGTTCTTCAGTTTCCTCTATAAGCTTAACTATTCTTAAGAGAATTTGAAAAAGCCTGTTTGCCATATCAGAAAAACTAAGTTATTTTAAATACTTTAATTAGCTCTAATAATAGCTAAAGGGTTTTAATAGTAGCTATTTTTTAATAGCCATTTCATTTACAGGGTTATTGTTATAGAAAGTTTAGCTCATATCAGCTACAGGATGAAAAATAAGAACAAGTTAATTTTTTAGGGCATTCTTTTCTAAATTTATGAATGCCTAACCTAAGCTACTTAAGTCATTTTGCCTGCCTTATGTTGTAGTGAATTGAAAACATTTGCCCATCATTTGTTTAGAATTAAGTTTTACACCCTTCTGATATTTTCTGTTGCTTGTCACACAACGAGAATAATACAGGAAGAAAACAGAGAAGAGGGTTTCTCTCCAAAGAAGAACATAGTGACTTATATAAAACCTTTGTCTTTTATTTTAATAATGTTGCTGCGTAACACATTTGGGTACACATCACTTGATTCCTCTACTCCAAAACGTATGGGCTTTGGGGATAATAGTGCTAGAGCTTTCGTGAAGTCATAGAATTCCACAGAAAGGCTGCAGATTGGTACCCTGAACAGGGACAGTTAGTTTGTTCTGTCCTTTCCCTTTGGCAAGTTTTTTTGTTAACCTAGCTACTTAACTTTATCTGTCTTATGTTGACAGTGAAAAGAAATACTGGAATGCTTCTTTCTTTTTATTATTTTTGAGAGATTTTTTGCTCTAGGGCATGTGTGCTCGCCAGATAGAGAGAGACAGAGAGACAGAAAGCGAGAAATCATCCCCAAGGGGGAATGGCCATGCCACAATCCCTTCTCCTCCGGTCTCCTCTCAGGATTTTGAGCACACATACACATGTGCTGAGTGTGAGTTTTAAGTTGCTAGGTCCAGGACTCAAACCACGGTCGACTACATGGGAATCCAGCGATGTAACCATTATGCCATCTGCTGGTCCCTGGAATGGCTCTTCATATGTTGGCTTAATTATACAGTTGCATGCATTAAAGATGTCAGATATTCAGATTAATAACTAAAGTTTCATTAGTACCTTATGTGTGCTGCTACAAATTTATAAAACAGATCCTTGGGGCCAGCCGGTGGCATAGTGGTTACAGCACTCAATTCCCACATGGCTGACCACAGTTCAAGTCCCAGACCTGGCCCCTTGAAAATCACACCAGGTGTGTGTGTGGCCAAAATCCCAGGGAGAAAATGGAGAAGAAGGAATTGCACTGTCACCTCCCTCCCAATCCGGGGATGATATCTCACTTTCCCTCTCATGTCCCCATCTCTCTCTGGATGAGTGCAGACACCCTATGGTAAAAGCCATAAACAAACAAGAAAAGGGTCCTGACAGAAAGTCTATGGCCTGTTTAGGTTCTTGCTATTTTGTATTGTCTTGTATGCTTGTTCAAGTGCTTGATACGGAATAGGGAAATAGTAGTTATTTATTTATGCAAATAGTGAGCACGCTGGGCTTTATTTTATGAGCCTTTACCAATTATCCTCCCCAAACTACATGCCCAGTAAGTGATGGAGCTATGCTTAATCCCAGGCCTGCCTTCAAAGCCTGGTTCAGCTACCACAGTATCCTGTTTAATAGCCTTCTAGATAAAGCCTGTGGCTCTTTTTTGCTCCTTCTTAGCCATAGTTACCACAAAACCCCTCTAGCTCATCTTGTAGTCTGGCTCCATAAAATAGCAAGCCTTCTTCATCTTGTAGTCTGGCTCCATAAAATAGCATGCCTTCTTTAAATTTATGTCACTCAGTTTTTTTCCATTCATTTCCAGAAACTGCATGTATATATTGGGGTGACTCACCCACCCTAGAAAGTTTGCAGGTTCTTCAGTCCAAAATAGTGGTTCAGGTTTTCAGTTACATGTATTTAGATACCAGCAAGAGAAAGGAGCCATTTAATCAAGGTCTCAAAGGATTGTTTTTGTTTGTTTTCTCCTACGTTTTACAGGGTAAAAGATATCACTGGGATGCAGAAACTCAGGGATGGATTCTCGGTTCCTTTTTTTATGGCTACATCCTCACACAGATTCCTGGAGGATATATTGCCAGCAAAGTAGGTGGCAAACTGCTGCTAGGATTTGGGATCCTTGGCACTGCTGTCCTCACGCTGTTCACTCCTGTTGCCGCAGATTTAGGAGCTGTACCTCTCATTGTGCTCCGAGCGCTGGAAGGACTAGGAGAGGTAATTTTTTTTTTCTCTTTTGTTTTACCTCTTACCTGTATCTCTTCTTCTTCCTAAATAGATGATTCTTTGTCATGAATATGCACCAAAAATGAACATCAGATGACAACAAGGATTTGTGTTTTAACTGGAGAGCGGGTTAACTCGAAAATAACCCAACTAGATTTTGTTTGTGGTCAGTGACATCTTGAATAGAAGCCTTCCAAAGCTGGAAGCTTTACTCAAAAACTAGAGAAAACATTTTCCAGGGGAGACTTCATAGCTCACACTTTAGGAGAAAAGAAAAGAAAACCACTATTAAAATGGTTAAGATGGGCCACGCTTTCCTCTTGTACTTTTGCCTCCATTTATCTCATTCTATCATTGATTCCCAGACCTAATACCTATTTTACACAATAGACTCACAAGTGGCTTTGATTTACTTTCAAATTTGTTATTGATGGCACTTCCTCTTTATCATTTGTTCCTTTCTTTTTTTCTGATCCTCTAACTTAGAGGCAGATAATCTATGACTTTATGTAGCTATCTCAATTTAGTCCTGATCTCTCTGGCCTTTCTGTCATTTTTCAAAAAACTGTTATCCATGTTTATCTCTTTTTCCCTCCTCCTACAATTTTTATTATTTCTTAAAATTTGAATTCCTGTTTTTCTTTTCATTTCCACTTCTCTTGTATTCCATCATGTGCATCCCCATCTTTAAATAGTGATTTTCCCTTTGTAACTTTGAGCTTCTACCGGTAAAACCCAGACACTGGTTTATTTTGCTCTCTTGGATTTCTTTAACTCAGGCAAGATGGTGGCCTTTGTGTTTGGTGGAGAACATGAAGGTTATTTGAGAGAGGTTTTTGGTATAAGGCGTATGTGCTTGCTGGAGAAACAGAGAGACAGACAGCAAGAAACTACACACACACACACACACACACACACACACACACACACCCGGAGGGCATGGCCACACCACAATCCCTTCTCCTCCATTCTCCCCACAATCCCTTCTCCTCCATTCTCCTCTTGGGATTTTGGGCACACATGCACACATCCCTGACATGAATTTTAAGCCACTGGGTCTTGGACTTGAACCACAGTCCAGTGACATGGACTACAGAACCATTACGCCATCTGCAGGTCCCTGAATGTTATTTTATTTTATTTTATTTGGAGATGTTTTGCTGTAGGGCACATGCACTCACCAGAAAGACAGAGAGACAGAAAACGAGAAGTCACCCCTCCCGGGAGGAAAGGCCATGCTGCAATCCCTTCACTTCCATTCTCCTCACAAGATCTTGAACACATACGCACATGTGCCAGCCATGAATTTAAGTCACCGGGCCCAAGACTCGAACTGCAGTCAACTACATGGGAGTCCAGCAACATAGCTGTTAACGCCAACTACTGGTCCCACCTGAATGTTATTTTAAATAGCATTGTATCATTCTGTGTTGGAAGGAACACTGGACTGGAGTCAGAAAATCACAGTTTGAGGAATAGCTCCATTGTGTTAACATGAAGTGTTAAGGACATCTTGCTCTCCAGACCTCAGATCTTTCATATTTCCAATAGAACTAAAAATACCTGCCCTGTTGTCAGTCACAGGACAGACATAAAGCTTATACATGATAAGAGTTGCTAGAATACTTTGGAAATCACCAAGTACTATTTAAATTTAGATCTTTATCATTCAACTGAATGTGATTATTTTGTCCTGATCAATAGAGGTCTATGAAATTAACCCTTTTTGATTACAAAACAAAAATTACCCCTTCCATATTGCCAGGGTCCTCTTCACCTTACCTTAGTACAATATACTTTATGGTAGCATATTTTCTCCAACCCAGTATTGAATCTTCTTGGCTGATACATTCCCATACTTTCGCTTTCTACCGGTTTATGCTTCTAATTTAACATTAAAATAATTTAGCATATTGTGTATATTACTGCTGTTCTCTCAGGTGACCATTTTACTTCTAAATAGAAGTCATGTCTTTACTTATGTTCTCTCATTTTTCTGCATTCCTCTAGTATATATCACATGTACATGGCCTCGTCCATAAACTTAGGTCAGCCTCTTTCATCCCCACCTACCTGTCCACCGTAAATATATCTACTTTGTCCCTAGGGTTTTATAATAAGTTTTCCACAACATAAACTCTAAAGGCATTTCCAGACATCTTCAGTTTTATTTTGTGATGCTTCAGCCCGTAGATGACATAGAGTCCTGTCAGTATGCAGCGTAACCTAATCATCTTTACCTCCCCTTGGTACTTCTTCCTTCTTTCTTTTTTTGGCTTTTGAAAGAAGCAGCAGGAAGTGCAAAGGGTTAAAACATTTATTCTTTTCTCCATTAATGATAACATTAGCACTCATCTTTACAGCAATCATCTAAGAGAGGCATTATCTCTGTCCTACAGATGAAGAAACTGAAGTTTATGGAGATTAACTCATCTTTCGAGGTTACACAGTTAGTGGCCAAGAAGATCTTTGAATCCACTGCTTTGGATCAACCAAAACCTATTTCCCCCTGCTCTCTTGGGATATTTCTCATCTACCAAGTCTCTATGAGCTTTCCTACCTCCACATTCCATTCCCTGTCCATATCAGTCATTGTCATTAGTAGGTGGGCCAGTTATCATTAAAAAAAAGAGAAGACTGTAACCCCTCCAATTGAATTCACCATTTTTAATAGGACTATGCTTTTCCTGTTGAGTAAGGTCAATTTGAAATGTATTCCAGTATCCAAAGTTTTTAGAAGTTATATATTGGTAACATTCCCATTTCATTCAGCCCATTTATTAATAAAAGTGAATTTATTGATAAAATGAATAGGTAAAAATAACTTTGATCCTTTTATGTCATCGCTCAGTATATGCTTTTAGGTTTATTGTAATTTTTACTTGCAACCCTCAAACTAGTTCCCAAATCCATGAAACTTTGTTCAGATTTTCAAAGATTATTATGAGGCATTTTTTTCTTAACACTGTAAAGACATCTCATATAATAGAATCTGATTCTGGTTTGATTCTTTTCTAGAAAATTATTTCACAACAACCTATTCAACTTAAAACATTAGTAAACTATCTTTTATTTCATCAGAAATATTCTTTCTTCCTCAGGGTGTTACCTTTCCAGCTATGCATGCCATGTGGTCTTCTTGGGCTCCCCCTCTCGAAAGAAGCAAGCTTCTTAGCATTTCATATGCAGGTGAGATAACTAGCCTTCTAAAAATGTTTCTATAATATGTTATGTATATATGAACTTTGGGGGAAAAATGCATGCATGCTAGAATCAAGCAATATTGTATGCCTCTTATAAGGCACATAAGTTCACCAGAGAGGCAGAAGACAAGAAATCAGCTTTCAGTGGGGGATAGCCATGCCACAATCCCTTCTACATTCTCCTTTCGGGATTTTGGGCACACATGCACACACACCCAGTGTGAGTCTGGGACTCGAACAGTGGTCAACCATGTGGCAGTCCAGTGACATAACCATTTCACCATCTGCTGGTCCCTATTGAATGCCTCTTTTGAAAAAAAATTAAGTTTGGGGGCACAACTTTATTATTTTTCTTTGGCTCAACAGCATATAGTAATGTGTCTTAATTGACTATCATTTTCTCTGTCAGCCATCATTTATTTCAAAGTATTTTTGCCTTTTTAGATATTGGTATAGAGAATACTATGTTTAAAAACAGTCAAAAGGGGCCAGTAGATGGCGTGGTGGTTAAGGCACCGGACTCCCGCATGACCAACTATGTTCCGGACTGGTGACAAAATGAAGCTGGGTACATGTGCATCCATGTGTGTCCAAACTCCCAAGAGCAAAATAAAAAAGAAGTGATTGCAGTGTGGCCATTCCCCCCGGGGGTGGCGGTGATTTCTCACTTTCCCTCTCTGTCTTTCTCTGTCTGTCTGTGGTGGGTGCATGTGCTCTATGGCAAAAACCTAATATAGAAACAACTAAGGGCAGCTAGACATAAGTAGCTGGAAAATTAAGCACTTTTATCCTTAAATTGTGAATTTTTTTTAGAGAGATTTTTGCTGTAGCATGCATATACTCACCAGAGAAACAGAAAGCAAGAAATCACCCTCCAGGGAGGATGCCATGCCATTTTTCTCCATTCTCTTCTCAAGATCTTGGGCACACATGCACATGAGCCCAGCATTAGTTTTAAGCTGCCGAGTCCACAACTTGAACTGCAGTTGACTAAGTGTGTGTCCAGTGATGTACTTATTACACCATCTGCTGGGCCCTAAATTGTGGTTTTTAATTTGATCAAGTAATGAGCATATCTGACTCTCAATCTCTCTCATCATACATTTTTTTTCTGTGTTATTTGGCATCATTTTGATCTACAGGTAAGATGATGTGAGCTTTGTGTACATTATATGAATTACAGTTTTACCAGGTAACATAAGAACTAGCCTTTCTTCCATTAATTGAATTTTTAAAATTTGACTTGAAACTGCTTTTAAATACAATGATTGAAAAGGACCTCTCTGTGTTGACTTTGAAGGATCAGAGCAAACCAGTCATGCAAAGAGCAAAGGGAAGGGCACTCCAGCCAGTCAGAACAGCATGTACAAGGGCTCTCAGGGTTCCAAGACATGAAAACCCACCGTGGGTGGCTAGAACATAATGAATAAGGAAGATAATAGCAGAAGATGCAGTTAGAGAAATAGACACAAGCCAGATCATATCAGGCCTTACAGGCCACGGAAAGTCATGTTGATTTTATTTTTTTCAAAAAAAAAATACATTGAGGGAGACATTAGATTTTTTTGATCAACTGAGAGGCAAAATCCAATTTACAATTCAGTTTTATTGTGAACTGGTCTTTGAACTATGTGAAAATTGACATGATAAATCTGGCAAGTTCAAGAATAAGTACTGTCTATGGTTCCCCTTTGGATAAAGTCCCAACTCCTCAAACTAAGGGTCAAAGTTCTGTATTGTCTTTCCCACTTCATTGCAGCTAGCCTAATCCCTGGATATGGTGCCTGGCATGGAAAAACTACTCAACCTGTTTTTCCAGCCCTGTCTTCTCTTCCTCTCCTTTACCCAAGTAAAGTTCCCCAATCTATTCTTTCTTCTGCTTTCCTACTTCCATTCTTTCAATTAAACTGTTATATTACCTCCATATCTTCTTTCATACTTTGTTTCTTTGAGTCCAAATCTTTCCTATCTTTGCAAAGTCTGGTGTTGCTGCTTGCATTTTTTTCCTGACCACTGAAAGTCAGAAATAAGATCACTCATATTTGAACTTTCAGGTTGCTCTGTGATACTTAGCACTTCTTAACATGTAGAAATTACTGGCTTGTGACCCAGTCACAGTGACACAGTGGAGCACAACACTTTGCAATGCTGGAAGCCACTGGGAGATCAGGGTTTTGTTCCCAAGTCAACCTATACATGTTGGGCATACATACTTGCCCAAGCTGGGCAGCTGGAAGGGCTGGAGGAAGGATCATAGCGTGAAACCGTGTTGAGGTTGCTTTTGTGTATGTGTCTGTCTGTCTTTCTCTCTAATGAAAGAAATAAGTAAGTAAACTTTTTAGAAAATTACTCATTTTGGGGACGGCAGGTGGCATGGTGGTTAAAAGCTATGAATTACGACATGGATGATCACAGTTTGAGTCCTGGACCTCTGGTGGCTTGCTTGCTTGCTCTCTCTCTCTCTCCTCCTCTCTGGTCAAATTGAAATAAACAAATGACTAAATAAATAAATAAAGTTAAATAAAATAATTCTTTAAAAAAAGTTATTCATTTGGGGACCAGCAGTTGGCATAATGGCTATGTTGCTGGACTCCCATGTAGTCGACCTTGGTTCAAGTCCTGGACCCAGTGGATTAAACTCATGCCAGGCGCTAGTGCATGTGTGCCCAAGATCCTGAGAGGAGAATGGAAGAGAAGGGATTGCGGTGTGGCCATCCCCCTGGGAGGGGGGAGGGGGAGGGGTGATTTCTCACTTTCTGTCTCTCTCTTTCTGGCGAGCGCACGCATCCTATAGCAAAAACTCTCCAAAAGAAAAAAGAAATTAATTCATTTGTGCTTGTCTCCTATATAACACTTGAGACCAGAAACAATGTGTGATCCATCATTTTAGCTTCCACTACACCTACTAAGATGTCTTATACATTTGATGAATAAGTGAACATTTTTTATTTCTCTGAAACAATTATTTGTAATATATAAGGCAAATTAGAGCAGCAAATGATGTGAAGGTTAAGGTGACTGGATCCCATGTGTCTGACTGCACAGTTTGAGTCCTGGATGACTCAGGAGCTTGAAAAACATGCAAGGTGTATGTGCATGTGTGCCCAAGATCCTGATAGAAGAAGGGATGAGAAGGGACTGCTGCACTGCCATTCCCCCTGGGAGTTGACTTCTCACTTTCCTTCTCTCTGAGTATCTCTATCTCTGTCTCTCTAGCAACCACACATGTAGCAAAACTAAAATATAAATATATATATATATATATATATATTTATATATTTTATATGTGCATGTGTGTATATGTGTGTGTGTGCATATGGCAAGTTAGATTCTTAAAAACTTTCTTCTTTATGTTTTATATATTGTAGATTTTCTAGTAAATGATCCCTTACAAGAGGGAATTGTATATATTTATATGTGACTAATTTAGCTCCTATAGAATTTAAAAAGATCTTTCTTTTTATCTGTTACTTATCTTCTTTAAGGAGTAAACCTGCCCATTTGTTCATCTGTCTCCAAAGTTTATAGTCTTCTGTGTTGTTTTAGGAGCACAGCTTGGGACAGTAATTTCTCTTCCTCTTTCTGGAATAATTTGCTACTACATGGATTGGACTTATGTCTTCTACTTTTTTGGTAAGTTTAAAATTTTAACCAAAATTATAATGTAGCAAATCCGTAATGTAGTAACAGTTCAATAATTAGTGAAAAATATATATTCTAATGCCATTCAAGTAACCATTTCCTTAACCACAATTTTATAACACTTACTGATTTTCAAATTCATATGGTTAAAATGATCTAAGTGAATTATGACCTATTCCAAGTTTTTAATATTTCTCAATAGAAACTACTGTTGAATTCTGCATCCACGCTTTTTCTTTTCTTTTTTTTTGAGAGGTTTTTGCTACAGGGCACATGCACTCACCAGAGAGACAGAGAGACAAAGCAAGAAATTACCCCCCAAAGGGATTGGCCACACCACAATGTCTTCTGCTCCATTCTCCTCTCAAGATCTTGGGTATGCATGCACATGCACCCAGTGTGAGTTTAAGCCACCAGGTCCAGGACTTGAACCACAATCCACTACATGGGAGTTCAGCAACATAGCCATTACGCTAAGTGCTGGTCCTGCATCCACGCTTATTATCAAAAATTATTATCTTGTATTGTGTATTTTGAAAATATTTCTTCTCAAGGAAAATAAGATGCTCTCACTCCGTAGTTTTAATTTTCTTTATTTAATATTTTAAAGAATTATTAATTTAATTTTATTTATTAATTCATTTATTTTAATTTGACCAAAAAGAGAGGGAAAGTCAGAAAGGAAGCCAGCAGGTCCAGGGCTCAAATCATGGTCATCATATGGGAGTGTCCAGCGCTTTAGCCAGCACACAGACCTGCTGGGCCTGTATTTTTCTTTTTATTTAGTCCCAAGGCACTTCATTTCTCAATTTCATTGGCAGGATGATACACATTTCAAACATTATATTTTCACATAGACATTTCATGCAAGAAATATATTTGCAATCAAAACAAAACAACATATTGGATGATGAAATGGGGATTTTAATGTCTCTGTATTGACTAATATGCATGGTCTTCCTTCTGGAAAAAAAGAAATGCAATACACTGTAAAGTTATGTGTAATTCAATGTAATATAAACAAGATTATGATGATAATAAATAAATAAAAAGAGTAAAAAAAAGAAAAAAGAAAAACTACCTATCCCATGGAGCTTACTTTCTACAAGAGAAACAGATAAACAATAAACATGGTGAGTAGATAAATTGTATGGTATGCTAGGAGGTTATAAAGTGCTTTGGGAAAAATTTAAAATCCAGCAAGGTAAACAAGATCTGGTTGAAGAATTCTTGTAAAAAAATTTTTTTAATTAGGAACTGGAAAGAGTTATTAGTAATTACATTATTGATCATTCTGAATGGTTAAATTGGTTAGAATGTTTTACATATCACTTAAAACAAAAATTTTAAATATTTTATCCTAAATAAACCCACATTTTAAATGTCAAAACAACAACAAAATCAAATCAACAGACAAAAAACAGACACCTATGGAAATATATATTGTAGACATTAATTTTTATGTGGTTGAAAGTTCTTTTCTTCAAAAATCATAGAAAATAATTCAGTAATAGCAACCATTCTGTTAAAGCCTTGAGAGAAATTCAAAATGGAATCTAAACTGAAACTGATTTTACATTGAATTTGTGTTATGTAATTTTTTTTGACACATGTAAAATTGTTGTTGGTACATTCTAATTTTATTTAACTATTATTTTTCTATTTTAAGGTGTAGTTGGAATATTTTGGTTTATTTTATGGATCTGGTTAGTTAGTAATACACCAGAAACTCACAAGACAATCTCCCATTATGAAAAAGAATACATTCTTTCATCATTAAGAAATCAGGTATGGACTTTTGTATATTATAAAAATAATTTCACATCTTTTTTTTTTAGAATTAAGATACCAATGTTTTAAAAATATATTTCTATTGTTCATGCCTAGGCAAAGTAGAATAGGCAAATGAAATATATGTATGAAGTGTTTTCTGAGGAATTCCAATTATTTCTAGTTTAAAAACTGTGAAAAAATACATTTTAAGTAATTTTAAACTTTTACAGTAATGATTACAAGTAAATATTAAATTTGTTTTTCCTTAGCAGAAAGTAAAATGTATTATTTAGCTATATTCTAAACATCAATTGTTAGAAAACCTACTAATACATTTATATCTGTACTTTGAATGAGTGTGGTTTAATAAGGAAGACAGCACATTTATTATGATATAATACAGTGCACACCCCTTTGCTCTTCTATAGTATGTCACCTTTTTTAAAAAAAATTTTATATCTTATTGGAACTAAGTTTGTATCACTTAATCAAGCCAAAACTCATGAATAAAATCTGTCATAATTTAATATAGTATATTCTTAAGCCAGAGAAACAGAATACTTGCCTTTGTGTAAGATAAAAGAATAATGTAAAAGCATTAGGAAAAATTCAAATATATACTTCTATTTTTAGCATTCTTATTGACTTAAAAATAACTTTATTAATTTAAGAACATGAAATATTTCACATAAAACTCATGATTGGTATTTTTATATGTAGTATAATTGGGCAGTAATTTAAAAATTACTCATTTTAAGTTTTACATTTTTTGCTACAAAATCTCTCAGGCTGCTGAATTTTTAAAAATTTGATATCTCTTGGTCTTTTCCAAAGGCTGCCAAAACCTTAGAAGAAGTGAGCAATAATAATAAAAGAAAGTTACTTTGAGGGCCAGTCTCATAGCCTATTTGTTAAGAGGCTATGATTCTATGTGGCCAACCACAGTTAGAATCCTGGCCTGACGATCTGAAAAAACTTGTCAAATGTGTGCATGTGTGCCCCAAACTCCAAAGAGATGGAAAAATGGAGAATAAGGGCTTGTGGCAAAGCTACACCACATTGAGGGGTGCTTTCTTCCCCTCTCTCTGTGTTTCTCTGTAAGTGCATGTACCCTCTGGCCGTTAAAAAGAAAAAGAGGTTACTTTGAGATTTTAGTGTCCGCTATGATATAAATCAAATGAATCACCCACTCCTCATACCATAAAACAGATTAAAAGAATTTATTGCAATATGAGGTCTTACCATATGAAACTTGATAGGTTTTATCACTTTTTCTCAAAATTGACGCTTAACAGCTTGCTTTTTCAAGTATTTTAGTTTTATCATTTTTTTTTTTTTTGGGAAGATTTTTGCTATAGGGCATGTGCACTCGCCAGACAGACAGAGAGAGACATAGAGACAGAAAGCAAGAAATCACCCCCAGGGGGGATGGTCACGCCGCAATCCCTTTCTCCTCCATTCTCCTCCCGGGATCTTGGGCACGCACGCACACGCGCCCGGCGTGAGTTTTAAGTCACCGGGTCCCGGACGCGAACCGCGGTCGACTACGTGGGAGTCCAGCGACACAGCCATTATGCTAACTGCTGGTTCCCAGTTTTATCATTATTTTTAAGAATTTATGTAACTTTTTAGTTTCAGTATTTCTAAAAAGCTTGTGTACCTGATATGTATCTTTGTCATTATCCAGCCTAGGTTTTCTGTACGCTTTAGAAAAAAGAATATTCAGCAGCAAGAGGAGTTAGAAAGATTAGGTAGAACCCCAGATTGCATTGTTCTTAAATTTATTTATTTTTAATTGACACATAGTAATTGTATCTATTCATGGGGCACAGTGTGATTTTTCAATACATTTATACAACGTGTAATGATCAAATCACAGTAATTAGCATGTCCTTCATCCAAACACTCATCTTAAAGGCTGTGTCTTAAAGTAGATGATATAGTGCAAATGTCACAAAATAAAAATGTATTATATAAAACTCCATTTTAAAATCTTGGATCTAAAAAATGTACAGCATCTACTGTACTTCATACATTCTTCAAGCAAAGACTTTTTTGAGAACTTACTGCATCCCAGGTTCTTTGTCAGATACTGAGGACTTAAAAATGAATAAGAGCGGCGGGTGAATGAAGACATGGTTCCTGTGGGGCCTGAAGGAGGTAGACACGGAGGACAGAATTTCAATGTAATAGAGCCTGCATAATGCAGTGCTGTCAGGTACACGGTATGTCTTTTGAACAGAGAAGACAAGATGGGTCCTCAGCCAGCCTGGGACAGATGGGAAATAGTTAGTGGTGTCAGTGCCTTCTGGCCCGAGATGTCAGGAATATAGTTGCAGTTGAACAAAGCTGAGTTTCTTGTCTCACTGCTGTGAAGGAGAAAGCACATTACAAGGGATCATCAGACATCTCAGTAACAAGGTTGAGAGAAGTTTATTATAGTTTAGACTTGTATTAGGTGACTTTAGAAGAGTTTAAGGAAACAGTCATTTCCTCTGGGTTGACATTGTCAGAAAACAATAGGAATTCTATGATTATCTTATTTACTTTTTTTTTTACCTAGAAGGCAAAGCTAAAGCTGTAACTGGTAAAGATGTAGTGGTCATTTACATTAACTGGGAGAGGAGGATGTTTGCTCTCTGTTGTGATTTGTGGTATTCCTGCTTTTGTCTGTGTTCAGATGCGACTAGGGAGTGGTCCAATATGTTCCCTCATGCTCATAGAGTAGTTTATCTGAGTTCAACTGGAGAACTCCATGTTAGAACCAGACCATCTCACCTGAGAGCATCCAGGGACTGCTGCTCTCTTTCTCACTGTATTTGAAGAGTCTCAAGGGAAGTTAGAATTAAGCAAGCATATAGAGGGAGTATAGATGTGCAGATATTTCAGGCCAAAGGTTTGGCATGAGCAAAGGCCTAAGATGGAAAGTGTGATCATCTCCTCAGAAGTACAGTGATTCGGTGTTGTGGCACACACAAGGCAAAGGCAAGGAATGACAAGAGACAGAGGAGGCAAATAGAAGTCAGACCATGAGCATCTCCTCTGTCTCACTTGGGCGCTTAGACTTCATCCTTTAGACACTGGCTTCCCAATGCCAATACAGTGAAGTATTTGTAAGCTTGAAGTGACAGATTCAGGGTTCTAGTTTACAACAGATAGCTGATGCTGACTGGCGGAGCAAAGATCTGGGCAAGACAGTCAAGGGTTCCAGAGTGCTTTCTCAGTTATCTAGTCCCCCCAAAAGTCAATAGTTATAGCAGAAATGTGATTCCATCCTTACAGTTTTATGAGTTTGACAGCATATTTAGTTCTGTTTCTGATTCAGGAATTGCTACAAAAAGAGCAGTAAAATCTCTGGGGCACTCTGTGGTCGAGCTCAGAAGGCCAGCTCATGACGCTCATGGACGGGCTACCCATACGAGTGAGGTGTCAAATCATCAACTACTGCTCTGTTTGGAAGACCTCTTTTTAATATATTGCGGAAGAGCATTAACACTTCGTCCACTGAGTGTTCTTTTCTGTAAATCTTGTTTGTTTTTAGATTTGTTCTTAATTTTTGAGGATGGCATGTTTGGTAACTGTTTCTCTTTTCCTTTATATATTTTAAGGAGAGTATACAATCTGTAGAATTATGAAGTAAACTAAATGTGGACCTGGGTTTGAAATACTTAGTTGCTGTAAATTAAGAATATTTATTTATTTTTATTTTTATTTTTTAGAGGTTTTTGCTATAGGGCGTGTGCGCTCACCAGAAAGACAGAGAGAGACAGAGAGACAGAAAGTGAGAAATCACCCCTCAGGGGTGTACATGCCCCCAGTGTGAGTTTTAAGTCACCAGGTCTGGGATTCGAACCACTGTTGACTTTATGGGAGTCCGGCAACATAGCCATTACGCTAACTGCTGGTCTCAAGAATATTTATTGCATGCAACTTTTCTAAATCAATCTGCTGTTACTTATATTTGACAGGAAATTACTTTTTTGTGTGAGGTGGCGTGCACGCATGTGCGCTCACATACACACACACACACACACACACACACACACACACAAAATACTCAGATACGTGTTGAGTGACCTTTTCCTTCCCATAGTCTAGATTTCACACATTGAGAGTTGAGTATAATCGCTCAACTCTCAATTTTATCTCAATATTATTATTATTATTTTACCAACTATTAGGTATAATGAAGCCATGAAGAGTATGTTTACATTACTTGATTGACAAGTCATCTCTGATAGTCATATCTTAGAAACAATTGCAAGAGAATAATTTCTAGATCCAGAACATCATAAAAGGCCGTTTTATACTTTATTAATGTCTTACCTTATCCCTATACTGTTCTTTTTTTTTTTTTAAGAGGTTTTTTTGCTATAGGGCGTGTGCACTCGCCACAGACAGAGACATACAGACAGAAAGCAAGAAATCACCCCCCAGGGGGGATGGTCACGCCGCAATCCCTCCTCCTCCATTCTCCTCTCGGTATCTTGGGCATGCACGCAAATGCGCCCGGCGTGAGTTCTAAGCCACCGGGTCCGGGACGCGAACCGTGGTTGACTACGTGGGAATCCAGCAATGTAGCCATTACGCTAACTGCTGGTTCCCAACCCTATACTGTTCTTTATGATAGATTCTAGCACATGTAGCTATTACATTTTAACTTAAACTAATATAATTTTTCATTTAGTTCTTCAGTCACACTAACCATGTCCAAGGACTTAGTAGCACATGTATAGGTTATAGGTTATCATGTTGGGCAATGAAGATAATAGAATATTTCCACCATTGTAGAAAGTTCTATTGGACATCACTACCTTACACCCATGGAGGTTTTTTTGTTTATTTGTTTGTTTTAAATGAAAGAGATGATAGAATGGAGGAAGGAGGGAGGAAGAGAGAGGTGGTTTTTTTTTTTTTAGAGAGAGAGACTTTTGCCATAGGGCATGTGCGCTCACTGGAGACACAGAGAATGACAGAAAGACAAAAAGTGAGAAATCACCCCCTGGGGGGATGGCCATGCTACAGTCCCTTCTCCTCCAATCTCCAAGAAAGAGAGGTATTTTTGACAAAGTCTTGCCATGTTGAGACCCCTGCTGCCCCAGCCTCCTGTTAGCTAGGATCGCAGGTGTGTGCTCCTGAGCACTCCCTATTTAGGCTGGACCTACAGCACAGCATGAGGTCCCGGTGTTGGCCTCTCTCTTTCTTTTTCTCTCACTCAGAAGAAACTATGAAAGTTTCTTTTTTTTTTTAAGTATTGAAATTAATGATTTCATGTCACACATTTTATTTCCAGGGAGGATATGTGTTTCAGGTGATATTTATTTTCAGAGTTCAGATAAATTTAAGCTTGTACCTTTCAACATAAAAGTATGATTTCACCTCTTTCACCAATAGATTTCAAAGCCAAATAAAAAGAGCTATGTTCCAAATTCCTTCAGACTCTAAAATCTCTAGATTCTTCTTTTCCCTCCTCTGTGCCCTAAGCTTTTCAATCAAGTGAGAGAAAGCAAGCAGGTTTTTTTTTTTTTTTAATCTAATGTCTACAGCAGTGGGCCCCAAACTTTGCTGCACATTGAAATCACCTGGAGAAATCTTTCAGCCACACTGATGCCTATCTCCACCTACCCCCACCTATTTAATTGATCCTGAGTGGGACCTTGGCTCAGAGGGTTTGTGTGTGTGCACGCCTGTGTATTTAAATAATGAGAGAGAGAGTTGGAGAGAGAGAAAGAGTGGTTCCCTGCAGGGTCATTGCCATTGTCAGCCAGTTAGCTAGTGTTACAGGTGCTGTATCTCACCTGGCCTATCTTACCTCCTTTGGGGACCCGAACCCAGGCTTCGTATGTGGCCCTAGCCTTGTTGGCAACTGTAACTGGGCCAGCCTCGTAGCTTTTAAAGCTCAAATATCCAACAGTTTGGGAACCATTGTTCTATCGTTTCATCTGGGAAGCCTTTTTTTCTTTTTTTTATAGGTTTTTGCCTTAGAATGTGTGTGCTCACAGGAGAGAGACGGAGACAGTGAGAGGGAAAGTGAGAAATAACACCACCCTCCAGTGGGAATGGCCACACTGCAACCCCTTCTTTTCTCAGGATCTTGGACATGCACATCACACACAGGTGCCTGGTGTGATTTTGAAGCCACCTAGTCCAGGATTCAAACCGCAGTCAGCCATGTGGGAGTCCAGCAACGTAACTGCTACACCATCTGCTGGCCCCTATGAAGCCTTTTGAAATTTAGATTTCTTGTCCATACACTCAGTATTTTTTGTTTGTTTATTTTGCTTGGTTTTGTTTTGTTTCTTCTGTAGATCTAGGGTAGAGTGCAGGCACCTGTGATTTTAAAGTGTCAGAGGCGATTCTGAAGTGCAGCTGGAATTGAGAGCCACTGCCATAAAAGGATGAATGTTAGGCCAGCCATTGGCATTGTGGTTGAGGTGGCTAGATCCCACATGGCCAAATGCACAGTTCACATTCGAAACCCGACATCTTAAAAAACATGCCAGGCACATGTGCATGTGTGCCCAAGTTCCCAAAAAAGAGAAATAGCGAAGGGATTGCAGTGTGACTATCCCCCATGGGGGAATACATTCTTACCCCCTTCCCCCATCTCTTCGTCTCTTTCTGGTGTGCACCTTCTGGAAAAAATTTAAAAAAGAAGAAATGTTCATTCTCCTTCTCTTCCCTCACATCCCTCCTCTACATCTTTAATACATGGTGGGGAACACAGAGCATCTCTACCAAGGTGTCAAATCGAAGGTCCTTCGGGAAAAGGCCACAAGGAAATTAATACTGGTTCTCCCTTTTTTTGATATAACAGTGAACCCTAGAGGCAGAAACATAAATTACCCTTGCTTTTGAGAAAGAACAACGGAGCTTCAGTATATAGGAAATGTAAAAATCTGATGCCCCAGGCCAGTGGTGCTCAAGTTTTTTGATCATACAGCCCATCAATAGACAGGTGGGGGAACTCGCAATCGGAATGTATGTATATTTATTCACAAATCATCTGTACATACTACTGTACTTATGTACATCATGAAATATATACAAAAATTGGTTTAAGTATAAGAAAATAGTAGATACACATAAATTTTAATAGAAAGAACCTTTTTGCTATCACTTAAAAATTAGTAATAATTAGTTAATATGGTAAAAATGTTGTTTAGTGGGAGCAATATATTTGGATATGTTGTATTTGATAATCTGCCATTCTTAGTGAGGAAGCTGACAAGGGACCTATATATGAGAAAAAGTAACAGCTCTGTTATCTTCTTCGTGTTTACTGTTTTATTCTCTGGATCAGGCTGATCATGGCCTAGTGGTTTAGGGAGCCGAATCCCATGTGGTCATAGCCAACCAGGGTTCAAATCTCAGCCCCAGGGACTTGAAAAACACACCAGGTACATGTGTGTGCATGCCCAAAATCCCAACAGGATGGACAAATGGAGACGGGATTGTGGCATGATCATGCCTCATTTGGGGGATGCTTTCTTCCTCTTCTCTTTCTGGCAAGTGCACACACCCTCTGGCAATCAAAATAAAGAGAGAAAGCATTCTTTTCTGTTGACCATTTCTCTGTAGGAAGTTTCTGAAGACTGTCAATTTTTTGAAGTTTGTTTAATTAAAACTAACAAACAAACCCCAAGCCTACTGTAAAAGGGAGCATAAACAGTAATCTGCTGTAGTACCCAAGGCCAGTCATACAGGTGTCAATGCCATTATTAGCCCTTTGAATTGGGGAAATCACATGATATGTGGTCATCTGACACACACCAGGAACAACCTATTTATCACATATTAATAGTTTTTTTTAGAGTAAATTGAGTGTAAGTATAAATTCTATTATTTATGTATTTCTTCACCTCAGAGGATCACCTTGTATACCCCTGGGGAGCGTACACTATAATTTGAAGGCCACAACTCCATTATGAGGCATACAAAAGCCTTTAACTGCACGTCTTAAAATCATTTTACTTGAATAATAAATTCGCATAAGATGGTCCAGGCTCTTTACTCTTATGTCAGTCTTGGAACTTAATTATCAAACTATATTTTATAAATAAAGGAATCAATGCTGTAGATGACTTTCAGCATTCATAAGGAGTGTTTGTTAAGTTTATTTATTTATTGAGAGAGAGATGGACATCATCCCCACCAAGGTCTTAATTTTGCAGCCCCCTCCCACCTTCAGCCAGCCCTAGATTATGGGCAAGTGTGTGCCACGTGTACTTCGGTCTCCAGACGTGAACCAGAACCTTCTCCGTGGGTCAGACTTGCAGTGTCTCATTTTACCACTGCACCACCATCTGGCTCCTTACTCTTTTTTTTAATTAAAATATATTTATTATATATTTTGCTCTTTGATATTTGAAACTTGATTTGAAATTTTGAAGTTTACTATTCAAAGCTGATATTCTGTATATATTCTAGATAGAATTTTAGCTGATAAGGTACAGATCTAAAAATTAACACAGCTATAACTTATCCTAATTGTGCCTGTTTTCTTTAGCTTTCTTCACAGAAGTCAGTGCCATGGATACCCATTTTAAAATCACTGCCACTTGGGGCTATTGTAGTTGCACATTTTTCTTACAACTGGACTTTCTATACGTTATTGACATTATTGCCTACTTATATGAAGGAGATCCTAAGGTTCGATGTTCAAGAGGTAAGAAAAAATAACCATCTACTTCTTATATAGGCTGGCAATATATACACATACATACATACACACACATACACACACACACACATACACACACACATATATATAATCAAGTTTGTTTATTTCTTCTTTCTATGAGTGAGAAAGACAGAGTTACTGTAGTTTTAAGTTACAGAATTTTAAGCCACCGGATCCAGGACTTGAATCACAATCAACTACATGGGAGTCCAGTGATGTAACCATTATGCCATCTGCTGAGGTCCCCAAATTCTCTCTGTTAATCTGTCAAAAGATGGTCTTTGGATTAATTCAGAAACTATACATTGTATTTATGTAGTTTTCTGTATCTGTACTGAAAATTAGTTTAAGTGAAAATCTAAGACAAACTCTGTCCAATGGGGTGAATTCACAGGTTAATAAGACTTGTCTTCTCCCACAACACAAATTCCAAAGTAACAGTCAGTATTACCTTGAGCAGGGCTAGCCCCAGTGATTAAGGGAGCAGGATCCCATGTGGCCAACCACAGTTCAAACCCCAAGTCCAATGACTTGAAAAACATGCCAGACATGTGCATGCATACAAAATCCCAGTAGGAAGGAGGAAATGGGATTGTGGCATGACCATCCCCCAAGAGGATTGTTTTCTCACTTTCCCTCTCTTTCTCTTGTCAGTATGTATGCCCTCTGACAATAAAAATAATTACCTTGAGCAGACAGAACTATGGTGAGGCTTGTTTCCCTCTAAGACTGGTTCTTAGGGATTGCACTGAACTGAATCCCTTAATCCTTCTACAAGTCAAATTTACTTAATGTTATTATATAAAAGTTAATAGCCTCTTCCTGTGTGTTTCCTTTGTTTTTAAGTGGTGGTGGTTTATTTTGGTAAGTATATATTTTCTTTCCTTTCACCATAATTAATCTTACTCTTCTTATTTCTTCCAGAATGGATTTTTATCTGCAGTGCCTTATTTTGGCTGTTGGTTATGCATGATCCTGTCTGGTCAAGTTGCTGACAACTTAAGGGCAAAATGGAATTTTTCAACTATATGTGTTCGTACTCTTTTTAGCCTTATAGGTAAGTGAAGTGAATCAGGTTTTATTTTTAATTATTTACCATATTTGTAGTTATTAGAGATAGGGGGAAAAAAGTTTTACCATTCTTACACACAGTTTACATAGCTCTCAACACAGAACATTTCTCTGGTCACCAAAATGTGTGAGAAATGTTCCCCACACAAAACTAGTTCTTCAGCAGACACCAGCTGTGTGTCCTATAATTTAATGGAGTGCTCAGTTCTATAGGACTGCCCCTTCCTACAGCTGTCAATCAACTGTGCTTACCCACTTATTATAAAGGGTTACAAAGGCCACAGCTGAACAGCCAGCCATATGGAAGCGATGCGTAAGAGCAAGGTATGTGGGAAGCAGGAGGAATTTTCATGCCCTTTTAGGGGACACCATCTTCCAAGAACCTCCACAGGTTCTGCTTTTGGAAAGTCAATCCAAACCCAGCCATTTGAGTTTTTATGGGGGTTTAATTCCCTAGGCATGACTGATTAAATCATTAGTCACTGGCAGTTAACCTTCAGCCCCTCTGCTCCCCAGAGGCTGAGGATGAGGTTGAAAGCCCCATCATGATCCTTCCAATGGTGTCTTGGTTTTCCTGGTGTCCAGCACCCGTACTGAAGCTATCTAGGGACCTCCAGCTACCAGTCATCTCATTAGCATATACACAGGGTCTTCAACACGTTCATGGAAAATGTGTATTATGAAAAAAATCTATGTATGGATTTCAAATATTTTTGCACCAAAATAAACTCATACTTTAATTCCATTTTCCCATGCACTTTCTGAAGGCCCCTTATAAGAATTACTCTTCTTGGCCAGCAGGTGGTGTAGTCATGAAGTTGTTGAACTCCCACATGACCAACAGTGATTCAAGTTCCAGACTCAGCTTGAAATTCACGCCAAGTGTATATGCATGTATGTTCAAAATCCTAGGAGGAGAATGGAAAAGGGATTACAGCATGGCCATTCCCCCCATGGGATAATTTCTCACATTCCCTCTCACTGTCTGTCTCTCTCCTCTCTGGTGAGCACACATGAAATTTAAAATTTTTAAAAATCTATTTTTTAAAATTACTCTTCTTTTTTAATTGCCAAAGAACACTTAGAATCACAAGACAGAGAGAGAGGGAGAAAGCAGGCCAACCCACAGGCTGGTGGTCAAGGGAGCCAAATCTGACATGGCCAACCATGTGGTTCGAGTCCCAGACCCGGTCGGGACCAGCAGTTAGCATAATGGCTATGTCACTGGACTCCCATGTAGTCGACCACAGTTTGAGTCCCAGACCTGGTGGCTGAAACTCACGCCGGGCACATGTGCGTGCATGCTCAAGATCCTGAGAGGAGAATGGAGGAGAAAGGATTGCGGCATGGCCACCCCCCAGGGGGTGATTTCTCGCTTTCTGTCTCCCTGTCCCTCTCCATTTGTCTGGCGAGCGCACACGCCCTATAGCAAAAACCTCTCCAAAAAAAAGAAAAAAAACACACACACACATTGGTCATATATCCATGTATGCCAAATATCCTGACACAGTGAAGAAATGGAAAAAAAATTGCAGGTAAATTGCATTTACCTTGGTGGGTGCTTTCTTTCTCTCCCTTTCTTCCTCTGTCTCTTTGTCTTTTTTTGGCAAGCACATCTGCCTTCCGGTAATTTTTTTTTTAATTTTTCTAAAAGAGAGAAAGTGCCCCCTCAAGTGGGGCATTGTCATGCCATGATTCATTTTTCCATTTCTCCATCCTGTCAGGATTTGGGGTACACACACACACATTGGCACATTTTTTAGGCTGCTGGAACCAGGTCTCAAACCACGGTCAATCACGTGGGATCTGGCTTCCTTAACCATTAGGCTATGGGGCCAGTCCAAAAGACACTCTAATCACTCCAGAGATTCCAATGATTTTAGGAGCTGTATGCCAAGAACCAAGAGCAAGGACCAAATATGTATTTGTTATTATGTCGCAGTATCACTACAGTACAGGCAAAACAAAAATTATATTAGTCGTTTATTTTCAGATAGTAAAACATTTTGATGCAGTTAGCATTTCTGTAAAAATAGTTCTTTTTAAACCATGACTTTTGAGGATTGAGATTTATAACATCCTATTATCTTCATCATAGTTTACAACTATAAAAAATGACTTATTTGCTGAGCATTATCCCCAGGATTTTATAAATCTCTCTTTAAAAAAATTTTTTTAAAAAGACACGTGCACTCATAGGAAAGAGACAGAGAGAGAGAGGGAAAGTGAGGAAGCGTCACCCCATCTGGGGTGGTCACACCACAGTCCCTTCTCCATTTCTACCTCCTTTTGAAATTTCGGACATGCACATACATGCACCTAGCATGTTTTTCTGCCACAAGGTCCAGAATTTAAATCATACAGTTGGCCATGTGGGAATCCAGCTGTCTTTTCCACCATGCTGCCAGCTGGTCTAGTTTTTGGTTTTGTTTCCTTTTTTTAGCTTTTCTATAGCGTGCTTGCATTTGCCAGAGAGAGATAGAGAGAAAGTGGGAAATCCCACACCCAGGGGAGATACCACAGTGCACTCACTCCCTTCTCTTCCATTCGCCTCTCAGGATTTTAGGCATACATGCACATACACCCCATGTGTTTTTCACACCACTGGGCCCAGGACTCAAGCCACACAGTTGGCCATGTGGGATCCAGCTGCCTTTACTACCATGCCACTAGTTGGTCTAGTTTTTTATTTTTTATTTTTTTATTTTTTTGTTAGTTTTGCTGTAGAGCACTTGCTCTCACCAGAGAGAGACAAAGGGAAAGTGAGAAATCCCTCTCCCAGAAGGGATGGCCACACTCTAATCCCTTCTCTTTCATTCTTTTCTCAGGATTTTGGAGCACACTTGCACATGCATCCAATATGTTTTTTGGTTTTTTTGAGAGGGATTTTTTTTTTTTGGTATAGGGTGCATTCGCTCGCCAGACAGAGAGAGACATAGAGACAAAAAGCGAGAAATCACCCCCCAGGGGGGATGGTCATGCAGCAGTCCCTTCTCCTCCATTCTCCTCTCGGGATCTTGGGCACGCACGCACATGCACCCGGCGTGAGTTTTAAGCCACTGGGGCTGGGACGAGAACCGCGGTCAGCTAGGTGGGAGTCCAGCGACATAACCATTACGCTAACTGCTGGTTCCCCGTCCAACATGTTTTTCAAGCCACCAGGTCCAGCATTCAAACGATGCTGTCAGCCATAACCAGTGCCTTAACCTCCATGCCACTGCTGGCCCCAATTGTTTTTAACTATAATGTATTTTAAAGCCTTTATTTTTTTCCTAAGTGAATACATTTTTAACTTCAATCCAAAATTATTTACTAACATTATTATATCAACTGAGGAATTATAAATCAAAGAACTCAAAAGAACACTAAATAATGTATGTTTCATACTCTGCTTTCATAAAGGTAATTTTTTTTAAATTATCTAAGACAATTACTTTTTTTAAAGGTTCCAGTAATTAAAGACCCTGCAGTCATTCATGGCTCTACAGTCATGTGTCACTCAACTGCAGGGTTGCATTCTGAGAAATATGTTCTTAGGTGATTTCGTCGCATTATCCAAACATGATAGAGCCATTTGCCCAAACCTAGGTGCATAGACTAGGCTATGTGGCATGATCATATGGGACTATCTTATGTGTAGTCTGTCATTGGCCAAAACATTATGCAGCTCATTCCTGTTCTTCAGTATTTAAATTGTGAAAGGAGCCTATTCAGGTTAATTCTACAAACTACTGAACATCTACCTCTGGAACATGATGTCCTGGTCCACTGCTTAGTTACTTTGACTCCATATCTGCAAGGAAAATAAATCCAACCACAGTGGTGCCTTGGTACAGTGGCACAGTGAGGAAGAATTCAGCGTTCCTGAGGCCACATGGAAAGGGTCTGGTTATCCTAGGGTCTCCCCTCCCTGTACACTCCAGCTGTGCAGCACACCTGTGATCTGGCCTGGGTGAGGCCGGAGATGGATCACAGCATACACTTTCTGTTGGAGGTGTGTGTGTGTGTGTGTGTGTGTGTGTGTGTGTGTGTGTATGTGTATCTTTCTCTCTCTCTCCCTCTCATAAGAAATAAATAGGAGCCAGAAGGTGGCATGGTGGTTAAGGCACTGGATTCCCACATAGCCAACTGTGGTTCCAGTCCCAGACCTGGCAGCTTAAAAACTCATAGGACCAGCAGTTAGCATAATGGCTGTGTCACTGGACTCCCATGTAGTTGACCGCGGTTCGAGTCCCAGACCTGGTGGCTTAAACTCACGCCGGGCGCATGTGCATGCGTGCCTGCCCAGGATCCCAAGAGGAGAATGGAGGAGAAGGGATTGCGGGGTTGCGGCCTGGCCACCCCCCAATGGGGGGGGGGGGGATTTCTCGCTTTCTGTCTTTCTGTCTCTCTTTCTGGCGAGCGCATGCGCCCTATAGCAAAAAAAAAAAATACTCAAAAAAAAAAAATTATGACGGGTTTGTGCACAAAATTCTCAGAGGAAAAAGGGGGGTGGTATTTCTCGCTTTCTGTCTTTCTGTCTCTCTGTCTTTCTGGCGAGCGCACGTGCCCTATAGCAAAAAAAAAAATACTCAAAAAAAATTATGATGGGTGTGTGCACAAAATTCTCAGAGGAAAATGGAGGAGAAGGGATTGTGGTGTGGCCATCCCTCACAGGGGTGATTTATCACTTTCTTTCTCTCTCTCTCTGATAAGTGCACATATCTTACAAGCAAAAACCTAGGGGGGAGAGAGCAAGGGGAAGAGAAAAAAGGAAGGAAGGAAGGAAGGGCTTTTTTTTCCCTTAAGATTTTTGCCATAGAGTGTGTGCCCTTACCAGAGAGACAGTGAGAGGGAAAGTGAGAAATCACCTCCCAAGGGGGATAGCCACCCTTCAAACCCTTGTCCTCCATTCTCCTCCTAGGATTTTGGACATACATACACACCCAGTGTGAGTTTCAAGCCACCGGATCTGGGGTTTACACCACAGCTGGCCATGTGGGAGTCCAGCATCTTAACTGCCATGCTACCTGCTAGCCCCGAAAAAGAAATTTTAAAGAAAAACGTCATGGTTGGCATTCATTTAAAAAGGAAGAAGGCAGCTAGCCCCATAGCTTAGTGCTATTGATCTCATATGACCAACCACGGTTTGAATCCCAGGTGGCTTCAAGTAAAACACACCAGGCACATGTCTATTTATGCCCCAAATCTCGACTGGGTGGAGACATGCAGGAGAATTATGATGTGACCACACCTCACTGAGGAGTGCTTTCTCCCTTTCTCTCTCTGTCTCTCCGGCAATTTAAAAAATAAAAAGGAGGGGGCAGGGGAGAAGGGAGAGAAGTCAGGAAAGCAGGCGATAAAGGCAATAAATTGTTTTAGAATCCATCTGATTTTCTCTTTTTTGACTTTCAGTGGACCTGTTCTATACAAATGGTAGCTACTAGTCACATATGGGTATTTAATTGAAATATTAAAATGCATGCCTCAGTTGCAGTATATACAAATACAACATTTCCATCATTGCAGAGAGAGACTGGGTAGTACCGCTGCAGACACAGAGAAAAGTCAACAGCTCCCTAAGTCCCTTCCTGTATTACTTGTATTTTATGCTTGATTGCCTATAATGACCTATGCCTCTTGTTATGTGTTGCTAGAACCAAGATGGAGTGTTTTTCTAACTCGATCCAACAGAGTTTATTACAGAAGTTATCTTGTTTGGTTATATGAGTTTTAAACTGCATTCTCTGTCGGATACTGCTTCTCTTCAGAACCGTATTTTTCTGTCATCCTCTTCTTGCCCTTTGCTCCAACACTATAGAACTTTAACCGAGTCATGCTCACATGTGGAACTACAACATTGCGTAAGATTTTCCCTTCACTAGTAACTACACTAGTTATATCATGCCCATATGTGCTCTGGCAGTTGTTTTGTGTGTTTTGTTTTGTTTTGTTTTGTTTTGTTTTCATGAAACTTTATGGAATATTCTAGGCAGTGCAATGTTTGTACAGTAGGTGGCAGCATTATCAAATTTCAAATTTATAATAAATTAGGGTAGAGCAAATGTTAAATGTTGGGACTTCTTTTTCTTTTTTAATTCCAGGAATGATTGGACCCGCGGTATTCCTGGTAGCTGCTGGATTTATAGGCTGTGATTATTCTTTGGCCGTTGCGTTCCTAACCATATCAACAACACTGGGAGGCTTTTGCTCTTCTGGCTTTAGCATCAACCATCTGGATATCGCCCCTTCGTGAGTGCTAATATAAGAGACTTGCTGCAATTGACTTAAATTTTTTTAATTGTGGTAAAAATATTTATAACATAATTTCACCATTTAATACTTTATAAGTGAGTAGTTCTGTGACATTAAATGCATTCACTTTGATGCGCAGTTGTCATCCAGCCATCTCTACAACTTTTTTACCTTTCCCAGCTGAAACTCTGTACCCACCAAACACTACTCCCTATTTCTCCCTCCTTCCAACCCTCCCAGGTCCCATCATGCTACTTTCTGCTCTCTGAATTTGACTACCTTAAGAATGACCTTAAATTCTTACAGAATTTAAACTTATATGATGATTAAAGAATGAAATTGTTTTTTAATTTAAACATTGAACCTCCATCACCTCTGTCCACAGTGTCTTCATAAGAACTCTGCAGTGACGTTCTAACTGCGTCTGTCCACCTGGCTAGAGCAGGGAGCTGTGAGGGCAGGGACTGTCTTACCCTTCTCAGGGCTCACCACGGTGCTTGGCACATCGTAGGCATTTAGTTGAATGGATAAGTGCGAACGAGTAGACCAACTGACTTGTCCAGTTGTATTACCTACACGCAGATCTTTGTATGGCACTTGACAACTTAAAAATTACTTTCCCAGACATGGTCTTGTTTTATCCTTAAAGCATTCTTACCCTACTTTAAAGCCAAAGAAACTCAGGCTCAGAGAACTTAAGTGATTTGTCTTGTACAATGCAGTTAATAAATAACAACCAACACTCCAACCTAAAATTCTTACCTTTAAACCCAAAGTTCTTTCTTGTTTTTTAAAGAATTATTTTATTCAACTTTATTTATTATTATTTTTTAATTTGCCCAGAAAAAGAGAGAGAGAGGGAAAGTGAGAAAGCAAGCTGCCAGGTCCGGGACTCAAACCATGGTCAGCCACATGGGACTCCAGTGCCTTTAACCACCACACCACCTGCCAGCCCCCAGCATTCTTTCTATAGCTACCTCTCTGAAAATGTTCTTTGGACCACATACTTTTAGAATTCTTTTATGCCCGGTAATGGAGGGGGCTATAAATATTTAACCCAGGTGATTTCCTGTATTAAATTTGTAAAATTAATGGATATGAGTATATCTGGAGGGAAAAGATAAGCAGTCTCCTACTCTTCCTCTACCCCAAATCCTTCACATTTAAATCCACCACAGAATCTTCTGATTCCTATTCATCCTTAGCCTCCTGTTTCTTCAATAACACTCCAAAATAAACTCCACTGAGCTGTTTCTCTTAAGACTTGAGTAGACCTTTGAAACAATTCTGTTCTGTTCCCTCATCTTCTGTAAGAAGCCCCAGAAGTTTCCAGAAGATGAGAGTCTTAGTGTGGCAATTCCTGGCAGAGCCTCTGTCCGCTATTCTGTAAAGCCTCTGAGACACTTGTCCCCGAGGCAGTGCTCTTTTCCTCCCCATCTATCTGAATCCTTCCCAGTTCACATCCCAGTTCTCAGAATTTGGAGCACGCACCCCACATGAGATTTAAGCCTCCAAGTCTGGGACTCAATCCACAGTTAGCTATGTGGGAGTCCAGTGACATAACCATTACACCATCTGCTGGTCCGCCCAAGAAACCATTTTAAATAAAAGGTAACGTAATAAAAAGCTCTGGGACTGTAAACTCTGACAGGGTAGAGACCAAGTATGTCACATTTACACAGTAGTACCAGCTCCTGGGCCTGTGCTGGGCCACGGTCAGTGCTCAGTCAATTATGTGACAAAGAGAAATGAACTTTCACTTTTGGGCTATGCTAAAATTCTTTCTTAGAAACTACTCCGGTATTGATCATATTATGTGAACATTTTTCTTTAAATCTCTTTCTTAATAAAATTATTGTTTATGGAACCAGCAGATGACATAATGGTTATATCCCTGGACTCTGATGTAGTCAACCACGGTTCAAGTCCCGGACCCAGCAGCTTAAAACTCACACCAGGCACATGTACATTTGTGCCTAAGATCTCTAGAGGAGAATGGAGAAGGAACTGCAGTGTGGCCATCCCCTCCAGGGGCTGATTTATTGCTTTCTGTCTCTCTCTCTCTGGCAAGCACATGTACCCTATAGCAAAAATCTCTCTAAAAAACTATTTTTTATATTCTCTATTAAAATTTAATTCAGCCAACATACAAAACCCTTTACATTGTGACCCCAGTCTATCTTTAGCATTTCATTTCTTTCCTTTTCTATGTATTCTTTATAACAGCTGAACTAACCTACTCCATTATTCAAAACTATCCCCAGTACACACACGCACACACACATACTTTTCTCACCTTTGACCCTTTGCTCTTGCTGGTCTTTACCCAGGATACCCATGCTCAGCTTGGGTTAGTCTCACATTTTGTCATTATTAGAGTCAGATAATGTACACCTGGCCAGAAAACTATATTACTGGCCTCGTGACCTCTCAGGAAATTGCATCCAGAGGTCCCTAGGGATATTAATTTTGATTACCCAAAGTGTTATTCAGTCTCTCCAATAGCTGGTTACTATATTTCCCCTTGCAACTAATAAAGCAGTCTCTAGGGAGTTGCCTTGAGATTGTGTGGGTAGCCTCCTACTTCTTCATTACCCTACCCTGGCCTGAGATTTAGCATTCATTGATGATCCATGCGAAAACCACTTCTTACTATGATAACTTGGGGTTATGCCAGTAGGGATATTCGAGTCCTACCACTCTCTATAGTTTTTCTTTGTTCATTCTGTGTTTTGTTTTAATTTAGCAAAGTGTGTGTATACTTACCAGAGAGCCAAGGAGAGAGAGACCTTCCCATGGGAAACAGTCACACCACAATTCCTTCTTCCCCATTTTTTCCTCCTTTCAAGATTTTGGGCATGTACACACATATACCCCGCACATTTGTCAAGCCACCAGGTTCAGGACTTGAACTACACAGACAGCTATGTGGGATCTGCTCCCTTAACCACCAGGATATGGGCTGATCCTCCTATAAATTTTTAAGTTTATTTATTTGTATTCATTTATTTCACGTGAGAGAGAGAGAGAGGTACTCTTGGTAGGGTCTCACCACTCTATGATCCTCCCCAAATCCTTCGAGCCAGCAAGGATCACAGGCATGTGCAGGTGTGCCCAATGTATTCAGCTCAACCCAGGATCCAGACCCAGGCCACCCACGCAGCTCCAGTATCACTCAGCAGCTCTGTGCTACCTGTACTACTGCAGCTAGGCCTCCCACCACTTTTATCAGTGAGCATTCTATTGTAAGAAAGAATCTTTTCTTCTCCCAACTGTGGAAATAAGTCCTGGTCTACATTTTTATTGAACCAAACTATGTCACATATCCACCCCTGAACCTACTCCATTGACCAAGTGGATACCATTTGACTTTAGGACAATCAGCAGTCACCCCTAATGCTAGAATTAAAAGGGTCAGTGCTCCTCAAAAGTCATTATTCCCACACAGATGGGGGTGGGAATAGATGCTGAGGAAACCATAGTAACATCCACCACAAAACATGAAGATGTGAACACAAAGGATTCATTTAAAAGATGAAGAAACTCAGACACAATGAAGTTGCATGACTTTCAGAATCACACAGCTAGTAAACGGCAGACCTAAGACTTGAATCCAGGTCTTCTAGCTCTAAAGTCCCAGGATCTTTCTGCTATAGCAAGTTGCCTCTTAATGTCTTATTTAGAAAATCTTGAAGAATTGGTTGGTGGAGAGGTACTGGCAGTTACTCTGAGAACTCGGAGAAAGGCCTCATTGTACAGAACAGGCACATATTCTGGTTGCCTCAGTTAATATGAATGTATCATAAAAACTGAGTAAATAAAGATAAGTAAAAATTATCAGGAACATAAAATTGGCTCAGCAACCCCCCGCCCCGCCCCCCACAACCAGAAGGAAGGTGGTAGATTACCCACTCCATTTCATGGAGCTGAAATGTCATCTAGGATTCATCAGGTTCCTGAAGGCTGGCAGAAGCTCTGGAGTCTGATGACAGCACTATCCTGGTCTCTTAAACTGGCAATGAAAGAAAATTGGATCGTCAAATATAAAATTATAACTATCAGCCCAGCCTGGTAGCACAGTCCACAGTGTACTGGACTATAGAGCTCAAAGTCACATGACTAGCCTTGGATGTGGATCCCAGGTCAGCCCAAAAACAAAGCAGGTACATGCACATGTGCCCAAGATCCTGAGCAGCTGGGGGACTAGGGACAGGATTGTGGTGTGAGGAGACCCTTCAAAGGTGCTTCTCATTTTTGTATACATGATTTTTTAAAAATAGAGCTATTGTCAAAAGAAGGTGACAGTGGACACTAGAGAAGAAAATAAAATATCCACGGTGCCTACCTTGGAAGAGAGGATTAAATAGAATGCACATCTACAACACTTTGCTCATAATGCACTAAATGCATTTGCACATAATGTAACAGACATGATTATTATTTTCAGGCTAACTTTGAGTCAGTTGGTATGAGCAGGGTCACAAATCAATCAAAGTAAAATAGTAAACAGATGATTGGTGAACTTCCAAAAAGAAAATAATTATCTCTTAGGATCCACCATCTGATCAGTAAGAGCCAAATGGCAAAGCAGTCTAATCTCTCATCATCTTTAGCATAGCACAGTAGAAAATACTAGATTTGGTGTGTCCATACTTCAGTAAGGTCTCCTCTGATATCTTTTTAGGTAAAGTAGAGAAAGATTAATTGGATGTACAATTAGGTAAATTTGTAATTACTAAATTTTAATGTGTTAGCATGCAATTAATGATCTAGGTATTTACAGACACTGTGCCAGGGACTGTAGCAGGTGTTGAAGACTCATAAAGTAACACAGACCCTGCTGGCCTCTATGTAAGCTTTGGCCACCTCAGAGAGTGGTAAGGCCATGTTATGAAGCATATGCTGGATGTCCAGCAGGTGGAATCCTGCAGCTGAGTTTCAAGTATCACCTGGTGTTGAACCCTTTGCCTTAAAGACCCTAGTCCAGCCCTGAAATT